GGGTGGATTTCTGGGGTTGAGGTCGCGTGTGTTGCGGTTCAGGGTTTGAGAGGCTAAGGCTAACAACCTCCAGTCAGGGCCGTGGCCACCCAAGTCCCTTGCTCAAGTCGGCAGCGGCCGAAAGCATCGAGGGAGTGGCAAGCCAAAGGGGGTGCAGCGGCGCGGGCGGAGCCCGCCCCCCACCTGTTGGTGGCGCGCGCCTCCTCCTTCTTGAGGGCGTACTCGCTCCACACGCGCTCGCTGTCCACAAACTCGCTCTCCCACGGCTGGATGTACCTGGGGGTGGTGCATGTGCGAGGGGAGGGAGGGAGTGGAAGGCGCAGGGTCGGGGGGTTGGGAAATTGACCTTGTTGACTGGGACCCCAAGGAGGAGAGACGGGCAAGCCACGCCGCGCACTCCAAAAAACACCACCAAGCGCGACAACACCAAACAAAACTCCCGCATGGAGGAGGTCGGGGACAGCACTGTTGGTGACACAGCAATAAGACGGGCTGCGCGCCTGTAGAGGTTGGGGATGAGCTGGTCCTCCTCGTGGCTCATGCCGGCCCTGAAGTGCGTCACCCCCAGGTCAGTCTGCTGGCTGTAGCGCAGGTCAGACTGGGGGATCAGGATGTGGCCCATCGACAGCATGCCCAGGCCGCCGACCTGGATGAGGGGGGCGTGGTGGATTGAGGGGTGTGCCAGGGTGGGTTTGTGTGCGCCCGTACACGTGTGCATGTGTGTGTGTGTGTGTGTGTGTGTGTGTGTGTGTGTGTGTGTGTGTGTGCGCGCGCGCGCGCGGTCAAGTGTGTGTCTCAGTTCGTTCGTAGGGTTCGAGTCGTGCATGTGGGGCAGCGAACGTGGGGCGCTCCCCGGAGCTGGAGCAGGGAGAGGAGCAAGGGGGGCTGTGAGGCACCAGGGCGTCCCCCCCCGGCCGTTGAGACCCCCACCTCCTTGGGCGAGTAGAAGACCACCGGCGGGAAGCGGCTGGGCATCTTGGAGTTCAGGCCAATCTGTCACACAGCGGGGTGGGGGTTTGGAGGAATGGGGAGGTTGGGGGATGGGGAATTGAAGCCGCACAGCCCCTGCAAGCCTTCCGGTTGGCCACCAACGCCAGGCCCCATATCAGCCGGGACCATGGAGATGACAACGCAGGTGCAGGACACATGAATTTGATGGGGTTGTGTGATGATGTGACATGAGAGGCTGCGCCGCACCTTGATGCGCGTCTGGATCTTGTTCTCGCACTTGACCAGCAGGTCCAGCAGCTCCTGCGTGTGGATGACGGCCTCCCGGTAGTACGTCATGAGCCCGATCAGCGCGGTGTTCCACTTGTTGGCGATCTTGGTGAACGTGGTGGACCCGCTCGACATCAGGACCTGGGGGTGGGGGGTGGGGGGGTGGAGGGGGGTTGAGGGGGGATGGAAATCAGGGTTGCAGTCGTGTGCAGAGGTGGGGCCTTTGCTGGTGTTGGGGGAGTGGGAGAGGGAATGCAACGGCTGGGATAGGCGCGCTTTGGGGGGATAGGGTCCGCTGACAGTGGACGCTGCTTTGCGCCCGCATGTATAAAAGCAAAGGCGAAGCAGGCGGCAGCAGAGCACGATGGGGCGTCCATGCAATGCCCTCGTCCGGCGTCCAGAGTCCGAAACCAAACGCCAGACCCACGCCCCAAGAACACACGGACATACGCATATAACTGCGCGCGCACCTGTCGGATCCTGTTCTCGAATGTCTTGAGGGCCTCGTCATCCACGCGCAGGAAGGCCTGAGCGGTGCGCTCCTTGGTGGCCAGGTTCTGCAGCGCCCACACGCCGTCCTTGGCCGCAAAGTGCTCGCTCGACATGCGGCACTTGGGCAGGATGCGGACCTGGTGGGTTGCGCAGGAGGGGGGGAGGGATGATGGACGTGTGAGGGTGCAAACACAAGTGGGAAAGCGGGCGGGTGCACATGCGCACAAGTGTGTGTGTGTGTGTGTGTGTGTGTGTGTGTGTGTGTGTGTGTGTGTGTGCGTGTGTGTGTGTGTGTGTTGGATAAAGCGGGGTGGATGGCTGCAAGTCGCCACCTGCAGCCTTGTCTGGCTCGAGATCTAGAACCACCTCCCTGTCCATCACCGCCCCCCCCCTACACACATGTACACCAGCCACCCCAGCTGCGCCCCCACCTCGAAGCCGCTCATGGAGAAGAGCAGGTTGGGGTTGTCGCGCGAGTAGACGCTGACAAAGCTGTTGTCCCACTCCAGGGTGCTGACGCTGCGCGGCAGGCGGTTGCGCATGTCCCAGAACACGGCGCGGCCCAGGTTGACGTCGTGCTTCATCAGGCGCATGCGCGCGTCACGCGGCCAGCACTGGGGGGCGGAGGGAGGGGTGCGTAGGGCAGGGGGGGGGGGGCGTGTGAGTATGGGGAGGGGGAAACTGCCTTGATCAGATACGTGTTGGTTGTATAAAGGGCACTGATGTGCTTCTGGCAGACGCGCGGGGCGAGATCCGGCGGCAAGCTCCCAGCGATGCGATGGCTGGAGGCACACATACGCGGGGAGAGGCATGCTGTTCCCGCCGCCACGCACCACCCACGTGCATGTTCCCTGACCCCTGCCTAATGGGGCACCGAGGTGACCGCCGCCCAGCCGTTTCGCTACGCAGCAGGCCGGGCGCCCTCCAGACGCATACAAGCAGTGCCAAAGTGCCCTAAGTCCCCCCGCAACACAACCAAACCAGAGGCGCACCTTCTTGTTGTTGTAGCCCACAATGTTCTCGTTGTTGGGGTCGGGGTGCTCCGTCAGGTAGCGCGCAATCAGGTCGCGCGCCTCCTCCGCGGTGAACCTTTGGTGGTGGTGGGGGT